AGAGGAGAGTTTCGGGGCTCCAGCATGTGGGGCGGAGCGCAGGGCCGGCAGGCTTGCTTCCACAAAGCGGGGTTGTCAAGGTTCCTTCCCCACTCTGAACTCTAGGGTACAGATGTGGGGACCTGCATGAAAACCTCCTAAGCTTACTTTTACCAGCTTAGGTTAATACTTCCCCAAGGTACAAACTATTTTACCCTTGGACTTCCACTGCCACCACCAAACTTTATCTGGGTTCCTGAAAAAACGTAGTTTGGAAACGTCTTTCCCCCCAAAATCCTCCCAACCATTGCACCCCACTTCCTGGGGAAGGTTTGGTAAAAATCCTCACCAATTTGCATAGGTGACCACAGACCCAAACCCTTGGATCTTAGAACAATGAAAAAGCATTCAGTTTTCTTACAAGAAGATTTTTAATAGAAGTAAAAAAGAATCATCTCTGTAAAATCAGGATGGTAAATACCGTACAGGGTAATTAGATTCAAAACATAGAGAATCCCTCTAGGCAAAACCTTAAGTCACAAAAAAGACACACAGACAGGAATATTCATTCTATTCAGCACAGCTATTTTCTCAGCCATTTAAAGAAATTATAATCTAACACATACCTAGCTAGATTACTTACTAAAAGTTCTAAGACTCTATTCCTGTCCTCTCTCCAGCAAAAGCATCACACAGACAGACACAGACCCTTTGTTTTTCTGCCTCCTCCCAGCTTTTGAAAGTATCTTGTCTCCTCATTGGTCATTTTGGTCAGGTGCCAGCGAGGTTACCTTTAGCTTCTTAACTCTTTACAGGTGAGAGGATTTTTCCTCTGGCCAGGAGGGATTTTAAAGGGGTTTACCCTTCCCTTTATATTTATGACAGGGGGTCACCCTGCCGCCCATGGAAAATAGGATTATCCTCTGTGGGGCCACTGTTTTGGTGCTTCTCCTCTGTGGAGATCTATTTGGCATCAGATGAATCCACCAGTAAAAAAAAATAAAAATAAAAAAAAATGCTCCCAGCTGCACTGAGGTCCTTTTTACTTCAGCCTCTTGTTTGGAAGGTTTACTTCATCAAATTAGCGTAGATCCACATGTCATGGAATGTGGGGGAGTCAGGGCCCTGCACTCTCCCCTTCCTGCGATTCACTGTGACTCTCAGTCAGCCAGTAAAACAGAAAGTTTATTAGACAACAAGAACACAGTTGAAAGCAGAGCTTGTAGGTACAGACAACAGGACCCCCTCAGTCAGGTCCATCTTGGGGGACAGGGAGCCTAGACCCCGGTCCTGGGTCTCCCTCCATTTCTCCAGCCAGCTCCAAAACTGAAATCCCCTCCAGCAGTCTTAGCCAGACACACAACCCAGCTCCTCCTCCAGTCACTGTCCACTTTCCTGGGCAGAAGGTGTCACCTGGCCCCATGCCCCTCCTGGGCTCAGAGTCATCAACTTCGCTGATGTTGGCACAGGGTACTTCAGTGATGAAGCTACCCCACTGGGTTTATTGGGGGTCTTGATCTGCTCTAATATGGGTGATAACTGAATTCGAGAACTCAATATCCTTTGCTGACACAGAATTTAGTTTCAAGTCTTTACCCTTTGAAGCAATCTGTGCCTGCATCACTTGGACTTTCAGAGTCTAATCGGAATGCCACAAGTTGGGATATTTCTTCAGTGCATGAGGCGACATCATTCTGCAGGCAAATCAGGCATTTCTGCATATTGTGGTCAACTCTTGAGATAGATGATGCAAAGAAAAGAGGCTATTTTGTACATAGTTTTGCCACACTGACATAGTTTGAAGTTGAGTGGCCTATTCTCCTCCTTTGAAAATATACTTGAAAGAAAATTGAGTGGCAGAGCATAGAAAAAGCCAACACTAAAAGATTTCTGGCACCATGAACAACCAGGTGCTGATGCTCCAAAATATCTGAGAAATGCAAAGCACAGGAGCACTCTGAGTCAGGCATTAGTGTGCTGAGAAACACTCAAGACTCGTGCTCTGAAGCAAGCACTGGAGCTCTGGGGCAGATACCATAGTGGTAAAGAAAAGCCCACTCAGGTGTGGACATGCCAGTATGGGAGCTGGAGAATTCGGGGGGGGGAAAGCATTGCCTAAACACTGCAGCAGGCATAAAGCACAACATAAAACAAGTGCCAAACCTCCTCAGAGCACATTAGAATAGTCAATCCAATTACCTCACAAGTAGTTTATGCAACTGCACTGGACTGCCTGGAAGATATGACTAATATGGTAAGGTTATATAACAACTGTCAATAGAACAGCGATTCTCAAACTCTGGGTCGGGACCCCAAAGTGGATCGGGACCCCATTTCACTGCGGTCACCAGGGCTGGCTTAGAGTTGCTGGGGCCCGGAGCCCAAGCCCACGCCTGAGCCCAGCCTCAGGTTTCAACACTGGGTGTCACGGCTAGGTTACAGTACGCTTGTCTGGGGCTGAAGCCTTTGGGCTTTGCCCCCCTCCTCTCCTTGCCTCGGGTGGCGGGGCTCAGGCTTCAGTCCCCCCTTCTGGGGTTGTGTAGTAATTTTTGCTGTCAGAAGGGGGTAGCGGTGCAATGAAGTTTGAGAACCCCTGCAATAGAAGAATTTGAGCAACCAAAAAATATTTTCTCTTGATGGTACTGCTTTGCTGACTGTGATCAAGAAAGAACTGACTCAAACATTTGGAGAGAAGCAGGATGACATGCCATAGCTGGTAGTAGACCTGTTTCATGCTACATCCTACTACTGCTGCCCTCAATGATCTAAAAGCCTCTAGAGCTAGGTCTCTTTTCCCAGTTTGCACAGATGTTATCTCTAAATATTTTTTCCTTACCTATTCTTTCTTTGTAAGGGGATAAATCAGTCACCAGTTATTCTCAGTCCAAAAATAATCTCTAGCGTATATTTTTCCTCTTTGCTTTTAAGCTGTCACTTGCTGCTTAAATAATTGCTGCCTTCCTCTTGCACAAAAATCTAAAACATTTTTCAAAGTCTTTGAACCTTACACCATGATTTTTACATTTTTGAAAGCAGTTTTATTTGTGTACCAGCTCCTTTTTCTACAGTCACTGCTTCATTCTTCTAGATTTGAAGATTCGAAGGATGCTCCATTTTGCAAAAAGGTCATAGTTTATTCTGATGAAATCACAGTTCTCTAAATTTTAAAAACCTAGCATGGTGGAGAAGAAAAAGGAGTCTTAAAAGACGACAAACCATGCTATAGAACTTACTATGCAGTACAATTCTGTCATAGCTGTCATGAGTACAGTATCTCACTGTGTCTGCTTCAACCAGCAGAGCTTGCAGAGGAGCAAATATGCCCTCTAATTTAAACTACTTTAAAATTACATGTTTAAAATGGGGCATTCTAAGTGCTCCTACCCTGATAATCATGAGGCAGTGGGTGAGGAGGAAGTAACATGAGCATTATTCAGAGGTTGGTTAGGGCTGGTTACTAAAATGCTGTTGCAATGGATGCAGAGCCCCTACATGAGACAACACCCTCATGCTTTGTTTTGACAGTGAGCTCTGCCATTAGTGTGCCCAGCAATATCATTACGGCAACAGAAATGTTCTGCTAGTGAACCTGGGGCTAGGTCTGCTAAGACACCTGAAGACCCAGCACCTGGGCAACAAGCCCTCGCCTGCAGCCAGGGAAGAAGGGGATATGGGCTGAGTGCCCCAACCCAGCCATAATCAGCACAGGTGGGTCACTGTACAGTCTTGATCTCGTCTCCCTTTGCTTGACGCCCACAGGTGGGAGGCAGACAGCTCAGCGCTTACACAGCCCGGGCCCAGCCACCCCCTCGAGTAACGCCACGTGCCACAGCGCAACGGCTGCTTTTCACTGACTAACCGCCAGCTCTCGCGCCCGTGCTTCCCGCGCACTTGTTCCCAGAGGAGGGCGGGGAACCCATGGGCGCGAAAAAGCCGCGCATGCGCTTTTCACGGACGGCGGGTGGAGGGACCACTGGTCTCTCCGCGTGTGCCCTGTGCGAGGCACGTTACACCTTGTGACGTCATCGCGCAGCATCACGCGGGTGGGACGTACAAAAGTGTAAGTTTCAATTTTTTTTTTTGTGCCAACGGAAAAATTTTTCTAGGGCCGCATCCGCGTGTCGGAGCCGGGGAGGGGCGGCTGCGCCCCCGCCCCCACACAGGGAGCCCTCCGAGGGGAGGGGGGAGCCTGCGCAGGTGTGCGGGGAGCGGGCGGCTGGCGGGGCAGGGGGGGTGGGTTAGAAGGGAGGGACGCGGGGACAAGGAAGAGTGAGACTGACACGTGGGGGGGGCGGCCGGGAGCGAGACCCCACGATTGGGCCTGGGGCCAATGACAGCCCCGGAGCCCCCTCCCCCCCGACATTGGAGGCCCGTGAGCTGCACATGTGCAGTCGGCGCCCCCCGCCGTGTCTCCGCAGAGCGGCGCTGTGGGGGCGGGCGGGGGACGGACGGACGGAGGGAGGCTGCTGTCCGCCGCCGGCCGCTCAGGTGCAGGCACCGTTCGGCAGGTGGGAGGTGCTGCTGCGCCGGAGGATGGGTTTGGGCGGGACGTGGGGAGGGGGCGCGGGATCTGCCGGGGTGGGTGGGGGAGATGGTGCCTCCGGCCCCTGAGTCAGGCGAGCCCAGTGCCTCGCGCGGCCCCGCGCCAGCTTGGGCGGGCTGGCGGGCCCCCGGCGGGGGAGGGGAGGGGGGGGGTCTGAGGCGCTGTTGGGGCTGCCCGTCTGTGAGGAGCCTCAGGGGCGCCGCGTCCTCCTTCGCCTCCCATCGCAGCTGCGGCCCGTCTGCCTGCGCCCGCCGCCGGGTACGGGGGGCTGTCAGGGGGCTGGCCGCAGAGGCCTAGTGTCTGTGGCGAAGCTGACAGGTCCGGCATAGAGGCGCCCCCACTCCTATGCAGAGGCCTGGCCTGTGGGGTGGGAGTAATGTTGCAGAGGGCACAGCTGGACCGTGACCGGCCCGGTGTGGGCTTAGACTGCCAGCGCAGGCCGCCTGCCGCCCTGCTGGGCTCCTCCGTGTATATATGGGGTGGGGAAGCCCCTGGAGCTAGGGGGCGAATTGTGACAGCTTCCCCGAGCTGCAGGGAGGTCGTTCCCCTGTGGGGGTTGTGCGGCTGTTCACCGAGAGTAAGTTGATGATGCCAGAAAACTTTTTAAATATTGCGAGACACGTTCTAAAGTAAAGGAATATATGCTTGTAGTTAATAAATTACATTTTTACAGACTTCTGCAATTCACTATTATAGCTGGTGTTGTCTTGACTTTCTTTTTAGAAAATAACATCACTGTTCCCGTTTCCTTCTGTGGGCATCAAGCATTTAAGCGCCTTGATTTCTAGGCATAGGTAACATGGCAAAAGATGTAAGTATATTTGTTTCATATTATATGTGGAAGTATGAGTAATAGAATATTTCCTTGTTCTTGCTAATAAAAATAAAGCAGGCCATACATCCCACAGATGGCATTAGGGGATATGAAGACCTCTTTTTGTATCTTATTTAAAATAGGGTTTGCAGTGCATCTGTCACTGTTTTTACATAGAAAGTTTAGAATAGAAGTATTAGCTCTTGTACTATAAAAAGGCTTTAGATTTAAGAGAATCTGCAGACATTTGTTCTGTGCAACAAAACAAAAAGCCACCATCTTGCTGAAAAGCATTTTGTGATGCAGGCATTTTGTATACTTGTAGTAGAGGTTATGAAAACTGCTTTTCACTGCTGTGCTTAATACAAAAACAAAATAATGAAATTGTTGTTCAGTCTGAGTGTTGTCAGTGAAGTACCTTTCATTAAGTTACCTGTTTGTTGATAAAACAGGTACACCGGGAGCACCACTATCAGTGTTTCCCTGCAATTCAACCCTGTTTAGGGGTGAGAGGGTCCTTCAGTCTCCATTCCCTTTTCTTTTCCACCCCTTCTCTTCTGAGACAGACAAAATGAACCTACTTAATGCCAACAGGAATTGCCCTCAGGCAACTATTTTTTTTCCACATAGTCCATCAAATTCATGCCACTAACCTAGAGGTGAGTGATAATAAAAGAGGGTTTATCTCTTGAGCCATCTATTCTTACAATTCCCTTTTTAATACCTCTGTAACTATCAGAAAAATTACATTTAAATATAAGAGTATTTTTAAATGTAAACAAACTTCTGTTCACTAACAGTCCTCATCTAATATCATTAGGCTTTCATAATTGCATGTTACATTGCTAGTAAAGTATTCTGATATTTTGATTTGCGTATGGATATGTTTTTTGCATATTTTCTAAAAAATACTAAGCAAAACAGCATTTTTTAAAAGGTTTTAGATTATGGCATAAGGTTTGATGTGAGACAGTATTGCAACCTTCCAAACAGTGTGACACAGATAGAACTTAAGTAATCCTTGGTTTAAAGAATTAATATTGTAGAGCACTGATGTGGTTTAAAAACCACTTAAAAAAAACCCCTAATGAGTGGTGTGGCAACCAAATAGAAAAAACAGTCAGTCAAGGCTTGCCAGGAAAAGACAAAGGAAGTGAATTACGTTAAAGATAGCAAAAGGTCTTATGGGTGGGAGGGAAGAAAGTAGGCCCATTGAGAGGATAACATAAAAGATGGTGTGTATATAAAGTCTGCTGCAGTTTCCACGGTATGCATCCGATGAAGTGAGCTGTAGCTCACGAAAGCTCATGCTCAAATAAATTGGTTAGTCTCTAAGGTGCCACAAGTACTCCTTTTCTTTTTGCGAATACAGACTAACACGGCTGTTACTCTGAAACCTGTCATAAAAGATGGTTGAAAATGACGGAGATACTGAAGTCCTTCTGTTTAAATCCCTCCTAAGCTATGTCTACACTACAGATACAGCTGTACTGCTGTAAGGTCTCCCATGTAGCTGCACCACACTGGCGGGAGAGCATCTTGTGCCAGCATAGCGCTGTCCACACTGGTGCTTTTATCGGCAAAACTTACATTGGTCAGGGGTGTGGGTTTTTTCACACCCTTGACTGACAAGTTTTGCTGACCCCCCCAAAAAAAGAGTGTGTGGGAGAATTTAAGTTCCTCCTCATTTCCTAGTTTTCTAATGAATATTGATGAAGAGCATGTAAGGAGCGTACTTGGGGAACAAAAGTGTATACTACTCATCCAGTTCAGCTGATATGGACCATAAGATATTAGGATAACTTGAAAACTTATATGTAGTTATGTATAGTTTAGTGATAGACAACTGATGGGGTACTAATTGCTTTTTTCCAATTTTCAAAAACGGAAAGAAGAGTGAACCTGTTAATTACTGTTCAAAGCCTAACTTCTGTCCTTAGTGAAATAATGGAACAATTTACAAGAGGAAAAAATCCCTAATTTTTTAGGTCTTGATCCTGCAAAGATTTGCACATGCTTAACTTTAAGTGGGTGCATAATCCTGTAGACTTCAGTAGAACTGTTCATGTATGTAAAAATCAAGTATGTGCATAATTCTGCAGGATTGGGACCTTACTGGATAATTTGCACTGTGAACAGTAAGCAGTATAAATGTATAAAGAATATTTCTTTCCAAACAAAATCTATTCCTTTTTTAAAATAATTACAAAATTAATAGCAAAGCAGGGGGATTAAAGAAAGAATATATGGATTTTACTAAAACATTTGGTGAATCTTCCAAAATCTTTATCTGAAAATGTTAGTGACATAGATATAGTGTCATGTAGACTGAAAACTGGCCAGAGGATTGTGAACAACTGATAATGATAAATGGCAAAGTATTGAGTTTGGGGAAAGTACTAATGGATTTTTTTCTAATGGATAAGGCCCAGAAGCTATTGCAAAGTCTGCTGTAGCTTCAGTCATAAATAACATCTTCATTGAAGAAGAGGGAGTAAAGAGCACATCACAGTTAATATTAAATATAGAGGAGTTGAGAAAACACCAGTGAGGATAGAGAAATAATGCAAAGGGGTGTAGAGAGAGTTAAAAACACAAGTGGGTGAATCCAAATGAATTAAAAAATAAAATAAAATGCAGGCTAATATTTGAGGAAAATAATTCAGAACACAAATGTTTGATAGGGAGAAACCTTGAAATCTGTAATGCTAAAAGAGATGTAGGAGAAGAGCAGCTCATTTATGAAATTCCAGAATGATCTGGCAGCAAAAATGACCAGTGTCATGTTGACTAAAGATGCAGAGATACCACATCAAAGAGTGGAGAGGTAGTCAGCAGAACTATACAGAGAGTAACTGGACTCATTTACTGAAAGACCAAAGGACACACTCATTACTAAAAGACTTTAAATTGCTTGATTAAATTCAAAGAAGAGATGATAAAGTTATTTAAGGGGAGGAAGGAATAACTTGCTAGGGAGAGTTAAGATATTGAAAATGTGTAGCCTGGCTCATTGACAATAGAGAGGGAGCAAAGACCATGGTGTGTGAAGAGTGTTTGCAGCTTGGGGATAGGATAATATGATTTCCCTTTACTTTGGCAGTGATCAGTTTCTGATGAGAGGAATTGAGGTCCCAGAGTTGGGTGTGGTGTAACTTTTTTTTTTTTTTAACACTGTGTACATATTCTCATCTATGCTACTCCCATGAGTCCTGTTGATCTTAAACCAAATTAGACCCAGCCATGCTTGGGGAACCCCAGAAACCTCAGCTCAGTCACCACTCCTGTTTCTGTCACTTTAGAACATAAGAACAGCCATACTGGGTCAGACCAAAAGTCCATGAGCCTAGTATCCTGTCTTCTGACAGTGGCCTATGCCAGGTGCTCCAGAGGGAAGAACGGAACAGGTGATCATCAAGTGATCCATCCCCTGTCGTCCATTCCCAGCTTCTGGCAAAACAGAGGCTAGGGACACAGTCCCTGCCCATCCAGGCAAATAGCCATTGATGGTCCTATACTCCATGAATTTACCTAGTTACTTTTTGAACCCTGTTATAGTCTTGGCCTTCACAACATCCTCTGGTAAGGAATTCCACAAGTTGACTCTGCGTTGTGTGGAAAAAATACATCCTTTTGCTTATTTTAAACCTGCTGCCTAGTTAGTGTGTTGTTTACTCCTTCTCATAACAGTTTCTTATTTACTTTCTCCACACTTGTCATGATTTTATAGACCTGTATCATATCCCCCTTAGTCATCTCTCTTCCAAGCTGAAAAGTCCTAATTTTATTAATCTCTCCTCATATGGAAGCTGTTCCATACCCCTAATCATTTTTGTTCTTTTCTGAACCTTTTCCAAGTCAATATATCTTTTTTTGAGATTGGGGGGACTGCATCTGCACGCAGTATTTAAGGTGTGGGCGTTCCATGGATTTATATAGAGGCAATATGATATTTTCTGTCTTACTATCTATCCCTTTCTTAATAATTCCCAACGTTCTGTTGGCTTTTTTACTGCCGCTGCACATTGAGTGGATGTTTTCAGAGCATTATCCACAATGAATTCAGAATCTCTTTCTTGAGCGGTAACAAGCTAATTTAGATATACATCATTTTATATGTATACCTCTAACCTGATATAACACAAATTCAGATATAACACGGTAAAGCAACGCTCTGGGGGGCTGCGGTTGCGCGCTCCAGTGGATCAAAGCAAGTTCGATATAACACGGTTTCACCTATAATGCGGTAAGGTTTTTTTTTTTTTGGCTCCCCGGGGCAGCGTTATATCGGGGTAGAGGTGTATATATGTTTTCCAATGTGCATTACTTTGCATTTATCGACATTGAATTTCATCTGCCATTTTGTGACCCAGTTTTGTGAGATCCTTTTGTAGCTCTATGCAGTCTGCTTGAATATCTGTCTTGAGTAGTTTTGTATCATCTGCAAATTTTGCCACCTTACTGTTTATCCCTTTCTCCAGATTATTTATGAATACGTTGAAAAGGACTGGTCCCAATACAGATCCCTGGGGAGACACCACTGTTTACCTCTTTCCATTCTGAAAACTGACCATTCATTCCTACCCTTTGTTTCCTATCTTTTAACCAGTTACTAATCCATGAGAGGACCTTCCCTCCTGTCCTATGACTGCTTAATTTGCTTAAGAGCCTTCGGTGAGAGACCTTGTCAAAGGCTTTTTGAAAATCTAAGTACACTGTATTCACTGGATTCCCCCTTGTCCACATGCTTGCTGACTCTCTCAAAGAATTCTAGTAGATTGGTGAGGCATGATTTCCTTTTACAAAACACATATTGGCTCTTCCCCAACAAATTATGTTCATCTATGCGTCTGACAATTTTGTTCTTTACTATAGTTTCAATCACCTTACCTGGTACCGAAGTCAGGCTTACCGGCCTGTGATTGCCAGGATTGCCTCTGAAGCCCTTTTTAAAAATTGGTGTCACATTAACTATCTTCCAGTCATTTGGTACAGAA